GAGAGAGAGAGAAATAAAGGAGTGGCCAGTCACCCAGCTACACAGCAAGTCAGGGAGTAAGTAGTAAAGAGGGATCTACAGAAATAGGGAAAGATAAAAGCCCAGAGGCAAAAGATGGATGGATTAGCCAATAAGGGGCTGGGGAAAGAAAAGACAGATGGAATAATTTAAGTTACAAAAAGCTGGCAGAAATTAGCCTAGCTAAGACTGGGCATTCGTAAGTAAAATAAGCCTTTGTGTGTGATTTATTTGGGAGTTGGGTGGTGGGTCCCCCAAAGAGTAAACAACAACCATCTACAGGTGGTCTTAACAAGGTAGTCATAGGTAGTTGTGAACCTTTTGAAGCAAAGGTAGGGTTGTTAGATGGTTATAAACAACTTTTAGAAACAAAGACATGATTGCCATTCCTGGAATAGGCAATACAGAACCACTTTGTAGTTAAGGTTTAATCATAAACAGGAATGAACTTAGTTTGTCTTTACTGTAAGATGGCTTTTAAGCCTATGATGAGGACAGGCTGGTTCTTCAATGGTTTCCCAATTTATAAATACGAGTTAACATTTCTTTAATCCATGTGCAGGACCCTTTAGCTAGTCTCAGACGTTCCTCAGGTCTAGGAGCGTGTAGACAAGGAATCTGCATCTGAGAATTCCACTTCTGACGTAAAGAAACAAGGTCCCTTATATTAGAATAAGAATTCAAAGAGCTCTAGAAATTTCAGGTCACAAAATTACCCCATATATTATATAGTTTTTCTCCACTAGGAAAATGGACTGGGATGGGCCATAATTAAGAGGTAGAGTGCCTGCCTACTCTTTTAGGTCCTGGGTCGACCCCGGGAAAAGAAAACAGGGAGAGTCTGTAAAATTCCAAGACGGTCTGCAACTTGACAGCTGCTGAGCTTGGAAACCGCCCGCCCACACGGTTGCTGGGGTTGCTGGCGTCAGAGCCACGGTGGTGACTGACAGCTCACCGCCAGTCGGTCCTCCCCAGCCTTGCTGGTCCCCGAGTCCACACTGCACAGAATCAGAAACGAAGAGGACAGTAGAAGAAAAGCAGGTGACCAGAAGCGGCCAGTCTGAAGTGAAAAACCCAGCAAGGTCTTGCCTGAGAGGAGGGGCGGTCATAGTGACGCTGGTAGACGCTACAGGCCCCTCCTAGCAACCAATTCTGGTGGTCAGGCGACGGACATCAGCTGTTGCTGGGCAGGCTAGAAGTGTCTTCTGCCCCCTCCCAGCTAGGGCCTGCAGTAAAGATATCCCGTTGAAAAGTTCCTGCACCCCGATAAACCTCTCTGCCAACGCAGCAGTCCTGATCAGACCAAATCAAAGCGAATCAGAAAAAGTACAGGTTTAATGGATAAAACTCTCCCAGATGATTTTGCAGTCCCCCAGAGAGGAGACGGGAAAGAGAGACCGGAAAACCTTATGTCTGCTTTCCGGGGTGGGGGGCAGTTGAAAAACCTGTGGGAGTGGTCTTGAGCATCTCTGGGGGAGGGGTCATCATTTGGGGGGCTTTCCGAGATGTGGCAGGTTTGGAGAGAGATGGAGAAGGGGACCTGGAGTGCAATTCCACCAGCACTTTCCAGACTCTTTCGGTATATGGACGCCAGGGGTTAGGTAAAGTTTCCACCAAAAAACCCAGAAATGGAGGCATGGGGAGGAGAAGGTAAAGATGCTGAAAGAAAAAGTTCTCTGCTGGCTTTCCTATCCAGAATGGTAAATTCTTTCCAGCAGTCTTTTCCCACGATGACTGCAGCTCCAATAAAGAAATTCCTCTTTTGTTCTTTTGGTTTTGTTGTTTTTGTTTTGTTTAGAGACAGGGTTTGTCTGTGTATCTCTGGCTGTCCTGAGACTCGCTTTGTAGACCAGGCAGAAGAAATTCTTTACACTGAAAAAGACATAATAAAATGTACTTTCGAATTCTCGTACTAGGCTGCCCCGGATATTCCACCCGCACCCCTCCCCCATCTGCCAATCCGGTTAGAGGCGGCTTCCACAGGACAGCTATTGATACCCTAAAACCAGTACTCCAAACCCTCCCAGTTTAGAATTGAAAGCAAGCTAGTGCTTGGCTCCCCTGACTCACTAAATGCTAAAGTGATTTCCTCTTTAAAACATAAAAATGTGATAACTTTTCATAATAATATTATTACAATAACAGAAGACACATAAGAAATTTCTTTTTTGTTTTCATTTGTTTTGTTTTATTTGGGGTTTCCATGTTGTTGTCTAGGCTGTCCTTGATTTCACTGTACTTTGTAGCCAGGTAGCAGCCTGTCTATAGCAAGTGTTGACATTATAGTATACACTTCCTTGCCTGCCCGGCTGAGAACACTTAAAATGTAACATTTTAATCATTAGTAGATGTGGTGCTTTGAATAGATTGGCCTCCATAGGCTCATACACTGGAATGCTTGGCTGCTAGGGAAAGGCGCTAATTGATAAGAATTAGGAGATGTAGCCTTGTTGGAGGAAGTATGTCACTGGGGGTGAGCTTTGGGGTTTCAAGTTCAAGCCAGGCCCAGTGTCTCCTTTTCTCCACATGGATCCAGATGTAGAACTTCCAGCTACCATGCTACCATGCTGATCATGAGCTAAACCTCTGAACCTGTAAGCAAGCCCCATTTAAATGCTTTCTTTTATAAAAGCTGTTAACAGATGGAAGGCTTTAGAACTGGACTCCTCCTCCATAATAAACATCTTAAAAAGCCAATGACTGGGAACTTCAGGACTCTAATTGCTGGACAGAAGCATGGTACCTGAGTTATTTCTTTTTTTTTTTTTTGTTTTGTTTTGTTTTGTTTTTGTTTTTGTTTTTGTTTTTTTTCGAGACAGGGGTTCTCTGTAGCTTTGGTGCCTGTCCTGGGACTAGCTCTTGTAGACCAGGCTGGCCTCGAACTCACAGATCCGCCTGCCTCTGCCTCCCAAGTGCTGGGATTAAAGGCGTGTGCCACCACCGCCTGGCTACCTGAGTTATTTCTGTCCCTGGGAGGAGACTGAGCATCCTAAACTGCTAGGGGGTTACTAATAAATGTGTCTCTTACCCTGCTTCTGGGAGCCCTAAACCCTATAAGATTATTATATTTAATTAATTAAGCCCAGTATATATCATGCTGTTAAATGGTTGTTTAACTAAATAATTCTTTTTTCAGCCTAGGATATTAATTTTTAATGGAAGCAACCTAAACATTGTGGAATGCCTAGTTAGATATGTATGAAATGTTTACACAATAAGATACTGTGCATTTGTGTAAAATAACAAGGTTATTATTTGGGTGTTGATAAGGAAAGATCTCCAAGATAAATTTTAGAAAAATTGGAAATGCAAATTAAAATAACTTTGAGATTCTATCTCACCCCACTCAAAATGGCTGTCATCAAAAACAAAAATAGCAACAAATGCTATTTTTATAAAAAAGAGACATGCACACATAATAATAATAATAATAGCAATAGTAATAATAAGCAACAACCATAACCCAACCTAATTCCATGTTTGAAAAAGAAAATAGGCCATGCCTGGCATGATGGCACAGACCTATAACCCTAGCATTTGGAAGACTAAGGATCCTGGGTTACAAGCCAGGTAAGACCCTATTTCAAAACAACAGAACAAAAAGGTCGTATCTTCATTACAGATATCATTTTCAGCAGTGAACTATGCTAAGGCTGGGCACGTGTCTGCATGCAGGACCTGTTCCTGCAGCCCATGTGAACTGACAATTGCTGGTTCTCTCTCATCAGTGCTGCCTTACTGGGCACAAACGACTATCAGCTCTTATTGTACACTTTGCAACTTTCTCAAATATAATCTTTGAGAGCTGGGAACAATGGCTCACACCTCTGCAATCCCAGCATGATAAAAGCAGAGACAGGAAGGTCCCTGAAAATTTGAGGCTAACCTGGGCTACATAGCAAATTCCAGGTGAGCCTGTGCTACAGAGTAAGACCCTATCTCAAAATTAAACAAACAAACAAAAACAAAACAAAAACCAATCTTCAACAAGAAAAAGTCACATGCATCCTTTCCTGATTAGAAGCTGGCTAAACTCAAGCGAACTGTCCCACATCTAAGAATAAAGGTGAGAGTTTGGATTTGCCACAGGACAGAGCATGTTTGGAACAGAGAAGAGAATGGTAGTGCCAGGGAGATGACTCGGGTAAGGCATTTGCCATGCAAGAATGAGGACTGGTGTTCAGATCCTTAGCATCACCATTTAAAACCCTGGGCACATATGAGGGTCCACCTATAATCCCAGCTCAGATGGGTTCAGTGAGAGACTGAAAATAAATATTCCTCGGTAAATAAAATGGAGAATGATTGAGGAAAACATTTGATGTTAACCTCTGGCCCCCACACGTATGCACACACGTTTGAACAAACCAAAAAGATAATTCATATCACACTTACAATATATGCAAAAGAGAAGAAGAGGTGGGGCATGGTGGGACACACACTTCTAACACCAGCACTCAAGACAGAGATGCAGGTGGATTTTTGTGAGTTCAAGTCCAGCCTGGTCTACTTGTCAAGTTCTGGGGCAGTCAACCAGAAGGAGACCTTGTCTCAGAATGGGGGTTGGGGAAAAGGAAGAGGAAGAGGAGACTAGGCAAGGTGTGGTGGTTACAAATCTTAGCATCTCAGTAGGAAGGATATAAAGACAGGAGGATCAGTAGTTAAAGGTCACCCTGTGTTATATTAGTTTGTGACCAGGCTGGTATACATGATATGCCACCCACACAAAGACAATAGACACCACAAGTCAAGACTGAATGTGTTGTTGGTTTTTTTTTTTTTATTTTTAAAAGCCTTCAGTGGTCACTCTCCCTCAGATAGTTCTTGGTAGCAAGAGGAATTAAACAAGCCTTACAGACTCTACAGATCCCACGACTGCATCCAGGGAGGGGAAAAGGGAAACGGCCCAGTACCAGTCAGCCGCTGCTCCAATGCTGTGAGGGGGGAGAGGAGGCAAACCCTGGTCATCAGTGGATCTGTAGTCCTTTTGTGCAAATGTCTGGCAGGGGTGACGTGGGGCCACTCCTCTGGGCACAGCTGTGGCAGTGCCTGGATGGAGGTAGGGCCTGGGCAATAGTGCCCTCCTAGATCCTCCCGACATGCAGCCTGGGGGCCTCAGCCTGGCCTAACCCTACTTCCAGGGACTCTGTCCCCAGAAACCACAAAGATGGCCAGTTTGTGGAGCTTTTCTCTGTCTAGCTGCCTCTTCTCCCTGCTCCTCCTCCTCCAGCTGTCCTCCAGCTATGCAGGTAAGCACGCTAATCCTAGACCTACATAGACCTAAGAACAGTAAGGGGACGTTTGGGGCTTACCTAATCATCCTCAAATGTCTGTATGAATTTCTTGTCTATACTTGGATCTGCTGGCATGGTTTCCCTCCTTAGAAACCTTCCTTACTCCTTGTTGAGTCAAATTTGGGGCCTGTGTATGCTAAATTTTACCCCATTTATATGGCTCTGGGAATCAAACTCAGGGCTTTCACTTCCCTTAAGTTCATGTTTTACTTCTGAGCTCTATCCCTAGCCCAAGTGTTGGGTTTTCACCTTTCAAAGGAGAAAAAAAACTAAATTCTTGGAGTTCCTGCCAGAGTTTTAAATGACAGAAAGTCTTCTGCACATTACTGCAATGCCTGCTTGTGGGAAATCTCAGTAACTTTTTGCTGAGAATTAATGAGGCAGTAAAGGTCCTTGCCTCTATGTTCAACGACCTGAATGATAAAACACAATAGCACAAATAAAATAAAGTTAATTTTTTTAATATTTGAGTTATAGCATCTCATTAAGTTTGAGATCTTGCTCTGCAGAATCAGGCAGCAATAAATTTTTATACAGGATCCTGTTCCCCAACTAGGAGGAGAAATAAGAGAAACTGAAGACAGAGTCCTATCTCAGGGAGCCATGTGATGGGTGGAGGCCTAGACCATGCACCCCCTAAAGACGCCCTGATATAAGGAAGAACCCAGTAGCTGAACCTCCCTGGGAAGACATTCAGAGAGGGATCCAGAACTGGCGTGAGCCTGAAGGTACAGATGATAAAGAAGGGCGAAGCAATTGTCCCCAAGGTGCACGACTTCACAATGGGTAGGGAACAAGGTGTGAGGACAGGGAGGGAAGAAAGAGTTGAAGAGTCAGAGATGAACACAGCTGGTAAAAAAGCAGAAGCCATTGAACAGATGATTTCATGTTAGAACATTCTATCCTAGACATTCAGAACATGTCTTTAACTAGAGACTGCTTACTTTGTATATGTTCAAAGTTTAAAAATAAGGCTGGCTGAAGCTCTTGTATTCCATTTAAAACTCCTCAACCTGACATCACCGTCCCTGCAATCACAGCATTCAGGGATCAGAAATTCAAGTCACCCTGAGCTACAGAGAACACTAAGGCCTGCTTGGGCTACAAGGACCATGACTCAAAAATAGGGAGGAGACACTGAAGAGATGGCTCAGAAGTTAAGCATGCTTGCTACTTTTGCAGAGGATCCAGGTTGGGTTCTCAGAACCAATATCTATGGGGAAGCTCGTAACTACTACCTGTAACCCCAGCTTCAGAGGACCTTATCGCCTCTTCTGGATTCCAAGAGTAGTCACACAAAGGTGACATACATTCACCTGCACTGACACAGATACAAAATCTTTGAAAGAAAAAATTGATTGTCCTAAGCCAAGCATGGTAGCACATGCTCATAATTCCAGCACTTGAAGAGTTGCCACAGAAGGATTGCCTGGAGTTCAAGGCCAGCCTGAGCAAGACCCTGTCTCAAAATTGATATATAAGGTCTGGAAAGGATGGCTCTTTAGTAAAATGTATGTACTTCTCTTACAAAAGACTGGATTTTGTTACCAGCACCCACATTCACGGGGTGACTCACAATACCCTGTAACTACAGACCCAGGGGACCAAATGCCTCTGTCCTCTGAGGGCACCTGCACTCACGTGAGTGCTAATGTAGACAAATACACACACACACACACACACACACACACACACACACACAATAAATCACTGGGTGTGGTGGTATACAGCTTTGATTCCAGCACATGGGAGGCAGAGGCAGGCAGATCTCTGAGTTCCAGGTAAGCTAAAGCTACATACATAGCGAGACCCTGTCTCAAGCATACGTAAAATAAAAATTAAAAATTGAGTTTCCTCTCTCTTATTCTTTTTTAAAGTAGCTTTTCTATGATGAACTTACCACATCTGACTCTTGGTTTCTTTTCTTTGGTGTCTTGGACAGGACAATTCAGAGTGATAGGACCGGCGCATCCCATCCGGGCTTTGGTTGGGGACGAAGCAGAACTGCCGTGCCGCATATCTCCCGGGAAGAATGCCACGGGCATGGAGGTGGGGTGGTACCGCCCTCCGTTCTCTCGAGTGGTTCACCTCTACAGAAATGGCAAAGACCAAGACGCAGAGCAGGCACCTGAATATAGGGGGCGCACAGAACTTCTGAAAGATAACATCAGCGAGGGAAAGGTTACCCTCAGGATCCAGAAGGTGAGGTTTTCGGACGAAGGAGGCTTCACCTGCTTCTTCAGAGACCACTCTTACCAAGAGGAGGCAGCAATGGAGTTGAAAGTGGAAGGTGAGCCTGCCGAGGTAATATGCAGCATGACCTGTTGAGTAGTTGACTTCCCCTTTATCTTCAGTCATTCGCTAAGGTCTCTCCATCCAAACATGTCACTTCTGAGATCGGTTCCAGTAAACAGGGACTCCTATGCTGTGGCTGTTGGCTATTTTGTTATTTGAATTGGGAAAGAAACTGGGATCAAAGTCAGTGTGTTCATGGGTTAAGAAATCGAAATTAGATAAAAGATGATATCTAAGCTAGACAAATGCTTTTGTACTTCAGTTTTTTGTTTGGTTTTGTTTGTTTTGTTTTATTTTGTGTTTTGCTTGCTTGCTGCTTTTGTTTTCCTTTAATGATGGCTTTTCAGTATGTAGCCTTGGCTGACCTGGAACTCATTATATAGACCAGATTGGCCTCAAACTCACAGTGATTCTCCCTTCTCTGCCTCCTAAGTGTTAAGAGCTGGGACTAAAGGCATGTGCCACCACAGCTAGCTTTGATATATATAACTTGGGCAACCCTCCAGCCACAGCCTCTGGTGTGCTGGGACTAAAAGATGAGTCACCATGCTCAGCTTGAAGTGATTGTTTTAGAACCCTACCAGATAGCTTGGGTGCTTCCCATGAGAACTTGTTGAATGGCATAAGCAAGCCATAGAATATAGGGAACAAAAGCATGGACCCGTGTTTGAGTGTGTATTTACATACATGTATGCACACATTTATACATATATACTCAATATATGTATATGTGTATATATGTGTGTGCATTATATGGCAGAAATATAGTGTGTGTGTGTGTGTGTGTGTGTGTGTTTGTGTGTATGACAGGGATAATTCAGTTAGTAGAGAGCATGCCTACAATATAAGCAGACACTGGTTTAATCCCCAGCATTGCATAAACTGGTTTTAGGACCTGAATCCTGTAATTCCAACACTTAGAAGTTAAAGTCAGGAGGATGAGAAGTCAAATACTGGTCTAGGTTATAGGAGACTGTCTCAAACAAAACAAAACAAAAAAGAGGCTGGAGAGATGGCTCAGTGGTTAAGAGCTTTTGCTGTTCTTGCAGAGGACCAGAGTTTGGTTCCCAGTACCCACATAATGCCAGCTTTGGGAGATAGAAGACTTTCTTCTGGCCTCCAAAGGCACCCACACATACATACACACATTAATAAAAATAAAATAAAAATTAAACACACACATGGGTATATGTAATTTTCACATAATTGCTTCATTTTCATGATTCTATTTTCAGTCTGCTCGGTGTGGTAGCTGATTTTGGAGTTATTTATTATTTATCCTGCCTTAGAGTGGTTAAACTGTGGATAGGGAAATAGATAGAGCTTTGAAAGTTGATTGCTATGTAGTTGAAGAACAAGAGTATTCTGAGTGCTGAACCTCTGATCCTTTTCCCTTCCTCCTCACCACCTGCGGCATGAATATCAGACAATCCATCATTTTTGTGTCTGAGGTGGGGGTGAGTGTTGCCAGGCTGAGACCAGAAGACGCATTGTACGCCCAGTAACAAAGCGCTATTTCTAGAGACAGCTTGCAGGGACATGAAAATAGCTGTGTGCCGCGGAATGTTCTTCAGACAGTTGTTTTTGCTGGGAAATTTTTACTCACAAAGAAGTGGGGAGTCAGAACTTCAGCATACAGATTTTCCCTCATCCTGCTCAACAAATTCCCAGTTCAGCTGCCAACTCCAGCACACTCACTGGGGCCCAGCACAGAGAAAGATGGAGAGGGGCAGAACACACGGAACACTTTGTCTCAAGAGAGAATGCTTTTCTTGGAGGGGTTTCCACATTCCAAACCCCTCCAGGGAGAGAGGAAGGACTGGAGTTCCATTCACAACACTGAATAAAATTTGGGAAGCATAGCACAGGCCTGCAATCCCAGCATTTGGGAGCTAGAGGCTGGAGAGCAAGGAGACAGAGACAAGAACAGATTTACCCTGTTTTAAAAACAAAACAAGGGGGGCTGGAGAGATGGCTCAGAGGTTAAGAGCATTGCCTGCTCTTCCAAAGGTCCTGAGTTCAATTCCCAGCAACCACATGGTGGCTCACAACCATCTGTAATGGGGTCTGGTGCCCTCTCCTGGCCTGCAGGCATACACACAGACAGAATATTGTATACATAATAAATAAATAAACATTTAAAGAAAATAAAAAAAATAAAAACAAAACAAAATCAATGTCCACATTATCCCCTCTCTAGAGACAAGCCTGCTGTACCATCAAAAATAAGGCCAGCCTTGTTTTTCCATTGTTGCCCTCTTTTTTTTTTTTTTTTTTGTTTGTTTGCTTTGGTTTTGAGACAGGTCTTGTAGGTTGGCCTCCGGCCTCAGGCTCCTGAATGCTGAATTACAGGCTTGTGAAATCACGCCTGGTTGTGTCAGCATTTTATGTAGTTGGACTTTTCCATCAAGGACTGTTGGCTCCCCAATAATGACCTAGAAACATATTATTAATTATGAAAGCTCAGCCGGTAGCTTAGGCTTATTACTAACTAACTCTTACAACTTATATTAACCCATTTTTATCAAACTATTTTTTGGCTTGTGGCTTTATTACCTTTACTCTGTACTTTCCTTGCTGTTTTTTCTCCATCCGACTCATGCTTCTACCCTTTTTCTTCCGTGTCCTCTGTGCCTAGAAATCCTGCCTAGCTATTGGCCATTTAGCTTTTTATTAAACCAATCTGAGTGACAAGTCTTCACAGTGTACAGAAAGATTATTCTACATTTTCCACTTTTTGTCTAAATAAAAAGGAAATGTTTTAACTCTAACATAGTAAAACTATATACAATAAGAACAATTATCAAGTTTTATCTAAATAGAAAGATCTTATTGCGTATACTTTTGTATTAGGCTTAAAACTCTCTTATTTAAACAAAAAGGGGAGGTGCTGTAGGAAATCCTATAGCCAGTAACCCTTAAGTTACCCGCCCACTGGGACATGGCCTCTTATACTGTTTATCCTGATATAAAGCATGTGTCCAGCCTCTTTTCTGGCTGCAGGATTTGCTTGTTGTTCTCTGTTACAGGAGAGGATATTGATTTGTGAGTCTACCCCTAAATAAATAACCCTCTATTATTCTCAATTCTGAGCTAGTGTGGGATTTCTTTTAAGCATCCATCTTCAAAAAGGTATTAACTTTAACAAGTGAAACAATAAAAACAATTATCAAGTAAGACTTACATTAAAATATCCAGTCCATTTATATTTGTTAATTTAGAGAAAATACTCAGTTATCTATCTTTTCTTGATGAGTCCAAAGTTTTTTACCTAATTTACTTTTTTAAAAAATATTTTTATGGTTTATTTAACTTTGTTTTATGTGCATTGGTGTGAAGGTGTCAGATCCCCTGCAATCTCCAGACAGTTGTGAGCTGCCATGTGGGTGCTGGGAATTGAATCCGGGTCCTCTGGAAGAGCAGTCAGTGCTCTTAACCACAGAGTCATCTCTCCAGCCCCCTAATTTACTTTCTATCATAACTAAGGAAAACTATAACTATCTGATCTTCAATTCCATCGAAGACCCCAGAAGGATATACTATTACCTGAGTAAACAGGAAGTGCAGAGCAAACCACTTGCGAAACTAAGAAATGACAGAGATATTTGGCTGCCTGGGCAGCCACTCTGCAATGTTGGGGCATCCATCTTCAGCCTGCAGGCCTAGAATATCTGGTAGTTTTTTCTGTGAAGCAAGAATTTTGGAGGACTATCTCACCTTGTTTGGGCAAAGTTTAGCAGTCACTTTCCTGCAAACTTTTCTATGAAGCAGGAATTTTGAAGGACTTTACCTTATTTTGGCAAAGTTCAGCAATCTTTTCCTTTGTGTCCTGATTGTCCAGTTTGCACAGCATACTGTAAGCAGTCAAGACAAGGGAAGTTTCTTGTCCAAATGGCTAGTTTTACCACATTGAAAGCAAACTCTATATGGAGTTCCTTCAATACCCATTATCTTCTCTGAAGATGCTGGCAGGAACAGACATGTCTCATTGTCATGAAAAGCCCTGTGCTAATAAAACATTTTAAATGCCATATTCTGTAGGTCTTTGAAGTGTTTGAAGACCATCTATCTATTAAAATATATCTCTGTTTGACCCTGAAAACATATCTAATATGACTACAAATTTGATTATTATAGGTGACTAATAACCTGTATTTCTTTATTATAGTTTGTAACAATAACGTTCAAGGATAAGAAACTGACATTACATTGTTAAATGAGCTTTATAGGTGCAATAAGTTAAACAAAGGTAGAAATGTATATACAGTATGCTCTTACAAAAGTAACTTTAAATTTGTATTGATATATAAAAATACCTTAGACAAGCATAGAAACATATACACAGTATAACAAAATAACATCAAATTTGTATCAATATGCAAAAATCCTTACCAATGTAAAATATTTATGACTAGTGGTTGCTTTTTTAACAACTTGTGACCAACTCCTCTAAGCAATGATAAACATCCACAAACCAACAAATGGCCAAAAACCATCCACCCCAACTCTTGGGAATGTGGGTGTTGGGTTCTCTAGACTGCTTCTTGTTGTCTGGGGGCACTGGAATCTTTGAGGGGACCACAAGAAAATTAGGATAATGGTCAAGTCCTGGCTAAAATAGTCTGTGAGCAGCCAGCAGCCGTGAAGCTGGTTTGGGTACAGAACTCTGAGGAAACTGCAATAGAGACACTCTGAGAGGCTGGGTTACTTGGGTCATCCGTTTTCACTGGTGTCTGGTCCCTTGCTCTGAAAACACAAACTTTATAAGGTGATATACATATCTAAATTAACACAAGTATGGACTGTGTATTGTACACAAGCCAGTTAAAGATTATTTTTTTTTGTTTTGTTTTATGCTTGAGCAGGTAAAAGGCATCTGTCAACTATAAGTCTGTTAGAAAAAAAATCAAACTTTAATATAAACCTCTATCCATGCCGTATGAAAGGATGGCATGTAATAAGATTTAGCATGTCTCATCTCATCTCAGAGCTGTTCCCATGTGAAGAGACTAGTTTACATGTCACCTCTTCTGTAGTCTTTTTGGCTTTCTCCCCCCCTATCTGTAGCCAAGATTCCCAGGAGGTCTTCCCTGGTCCAATCTGATCTCTGTTAATCTGAAAGTAATCCACAGCCTTTTGTTTCTTGTGGAAACAAAAGCATAACCTCTCCCCCAACCCAAGAAAAGCAACTGTCAAACTTTGCCAAGACATGGTAGGACAGTACTTCAAAAATGTCTGCTTCACAAAACACCTGTCCAATATTCTAGTCCTCTAGGCTGAAGATGGGTGCTCCAGTGTTGCAGAGGAACCTTGGGTGGCTGTCCAAACAGTCACAAGAAACCGCTTCTCTTGTTTCTTTTAGTTTTGGAAGTTGCTTCCTCTGCACTTCCTATTTAACTCAGGAAATATTATATCCTTCTGGGGTCTTTGATGGAGTTAAAGACTAGATAGTCACAGTTACAGTTTTCCTTAGTTATGATAGAAGGTAAGTTAGGTCAGAGCTTTGGACTCAACAAGATAGAATAAATAATGGAGTATTTTCTCCAAATATGCCAAATACAAATGGACTGGACATTGTAAATGTAATTTTTACCTGATAATTGCTCTTATTGTTTATAGTTTTATTATGTTAGAATTAAAACCTCTCCTTTTATTTAGCAAAAAGGGGTAAATGTGACATAATCTTTTTGTACACTGTGAAGACTTGTCACTCAGATTAGTTTAATAAAAAGGTGAACGGCCAATATCTAAGCAGGATTTTCAGGACGACACTGGGGGAAAGAAGGGCAGAAATGTGGAGAGTCATGAGACAGAGACAGAGGAGACAGGAAAGTAGCATGAGCAGTGCAGAGTGAAGGTAATAAAGCCACAAGGCAGAAAGTAAATTAATAAAAAATAGAGTAAGTTATAAGAGCTAGTTAGAAACAAGCCTAACCTATCGACCAAGCTTTCATAATTAATAAGTCTCCATGTTGTGATTTGAGAGCTGGGCAGAGGGACAGAAAAATCCACCTACAATCTTGTTAATCTTAAGGTTGATTCCCTTATTCAACCCACATTACTGCAGCACAGTCTCTGAATAGGGTGCTGGGGAAGAAAGCTGGGTGATGCTCATTCTGCCTTTCAGATCCCTTCTACTGGATCAACCCTGGGGTCCTGGTGCTGATCGCACTTCTGCCTGCACTCCTCCTGCAGGTTTCCGTGGGTGTCGTCTTCCTCTTTCTGCAGCACAGACTCAGAGGTATGGGCAGCAGTTGGGTCTGTCGGGATTCTTTCCTGGCCTTCAGGGATAGGTCATCTTTAAGGCTTCTGAGTTCAGAACTACATAACAAGTTTTACTGAGCCTTTTCAAAGAGGACCTTGCATTTCCCTGGGAAATAAGACTGACATGTAACAGCCTCCTAGCTGAGGAAGAAATTGAGTCCATGGATGGTTCAGTGACTTGCTCAAATAGCCTGTTACAGGCAGTATAACTCAGCCCTCCATAGACCTGAGCAGCTTCATGAAACCAGGCGAGTAGTCTCTTCAAAGCCAGCCAGATCAAAAATACTAGACAATAAAAAAAATAAATCTTAAGGGCTGGAGGGACGGCTCAGTGTTAAGAGCAATTGCTTCTCTTCTAAGGGACTCAGTACCCACACCAGAGAGCTCATAACCATCTGCAACTCCATGGATTCTAACATCCCTGGCCTCCTCAGGCACCTGCACTCATGTACAGATACCTACACACAATTTAAAATAAAATAAAGCAAAATTTTAAACTTTCAATTTTATTATTATTTGCTTGTACTTGCTTGTCTGTATGTGCACATGTATGTATAGGTGTTCTAAGAGGGAAAAGAAGGTGTCAGAGTCCCTGGGACTGGAATTATAGGTGGTTGTAAGATGCTTTATGCTGGTTCTAGGATCTGAATCCTGGGTCCTCTGCAAGAGTTGCAAGCATTCTTAACCCTTGAGCCTTGTCTCCCGCCCCACTACTTCACATTTTAATAAGAATTCTGAAATGAAACTCATTGCCATATAGAGTGTATTGAAAAAAGTGTTTCCCCTGTCTCTTACATTAAACTGTGGACACAAGTTCAGCTGTTGATGAAGTGTTCTTTTGTGTCCGGAAACTCCAGGCAGAGTCTTCTTAGACTGTGTCCTTCCCAGTACCACAGCATAAAGTCTCGTGTTTCCACCTCCTCCTGCTATTAAGAGGATACGGCAGCAAAGGGGGTTTGGGCCATGAGGAGAGAGATATCAGACCAACAGTGATCCTGCTTTGTGTACAATAGACAAGTGCTCCACAGTGTACTGTGTCCCCAACCCCACAGTGAGATCTTTTTCTTACCTTAAAACCATCTCAGATGTTTGGTTACTTGTTCCTTGGCAAGGAAAAGGTCCTCTGCCATCATGGCTGAATAGAACAGGAAGACAGAGCTAGGCAGCCTAGGATCCAACTCTATTGTAGAGACCAAACTGTGAGGAAAATTCTTAGGTTCTTCAAGTCTCCGAGTAGGGATAGTGTTTTCCCTCTTAAACTGCGGGATGCTTACAAGAGGATAACATCATGGAAAGCACCTGCGGTAGATGCAGTCATAAAGTAGTATCTCAATAAATGTCTAGCTTTTCATTCAAGTAGGATTTGGCTTTATATTTACAATATGGTACTCTACTTGGCCATGTGAACTGAGCAAGGAGTAATAGAAGAAGTAACTTACGATATAGTGCTGGAAGGGCAGCTCAGGGGCTAAAAGTCTGTCCTGCTCTTACAGAGGACTCAGTTCCATCCTCAGCACTCTATGTCAGGCAGCTCAGAACTACTCATAACTAGGAGATCTGACCTTTTCTGGATTCCAGGGACACACGTACTCATGTGCATGCTAGTGTGCATGCACGCACACACACACACACGCACCTCAAAGAGAGAGAGAATTTAAAATAAAATTAGGAAAAAAAAATTATGTGGTTTGAGTATTGCTGGCTCCTGAGAATTAGTCCTGAAGACTTCTGCATTCTTTAAAGCTTTTCTGGAGGTTCTAGCTATGCAGTGTAGTTGTTTGTACACCGTTAACCAAAGAACAGCAGGCCCTGCTCTTCTCGAAGATCATTCTCTCTGACCAAACAAGCGGTTTTGGGAGGGACACATATGGGGTTGTAAGAAAAGAAGGGAACACTCACCTCGCCAGCTGGATCAGCAAAATCGGCTGTGGCGATCACTGGGGTGATAGGCAGCAGAGCCAGACTGCTCTCACATCCGGGCTCCTCTTTTCTTTTTGTCGTTCAATTCAGACAACACCCACAGGAAGAGCCCAAATACTTGGTTTTAAGTCGCGAGCTCTTCCCACTCCCCAAAGACTCCCCCAAGCTATCAAGGAGTTGTCCGCACAGAGGTCCAAGGTGCTCGGTGCAGAAGGGTCCTCACACAGTAGCAGACCAGGAACTAAAACATTGCCTTTTTCTGTTCTAGGAAAACTTCGAGCAGAAGTTGGTGAGTTCCAGGCACCCTCCCTCCCCAATTCCTCCTGTCTAGTCTTTTAATTTAACCAAAATGCCCCTTTCTTCAGAACATTTCTGCCTCACTACCAGGGCTCTGTGCTCCCTCCAGTAGGGAACATCAATATTTAAAACTATAAGCAGCTGAGAATTAAAAATCCTACTGGCTCACCTGAGTTCAGTCAGTGCAGACATAAAATCCCAAACTTGCATTATGTTTTACTTTTTATCTTATGAACCAGCTTTAAGTGATTGAAATAGATTCAGGGCAAGGATCCCCTCTCTGTGCCCATCTGAATCCACTTTCATCTGTTCCTCTTTCAGAGAACCTCCATCGGACTTTTGGTAAGTTCAGACATCTCCCAGCCTCCCAGGGCACTGTGGGATTTCACTTGCAGCCTGGGGAACTAGTGGCCCTTTGTGGGGTCACTCCACCTTTTCTCTTTACATTTAAAACCTGCAGGAATACAGCAAAAACTTATGTACCACGTTCTAGTGTGAGGTACTACACTAAATTCCACAAATGTAAACCTTTTTTTTTTTTTTTTTGATTTTCAAGACAGGGTTTCTCCGTAGCTTTTTGGTTCCTGTCCTGGAACTAGCTCTTGTAAACCAGGCTGGCCACGAACTCACAGAGATCTGCCTGCCTCTGCCTCCCGAGCGCTGGGATTAAAGGCGTGCGCCACCACCGCCCAGCAAATGTAAACTTCTTATACACATTTTTTTTTCCATCCTGTGAATTATAAAAGGTAGGTAAACAGATCCTTTTCACCTTTTCACATAAACTTGATTGCCTAGTGGAAAAAAAATCTACTTGGACAAGACTTCAGAACTACTGGAGGTAAAGGTATGGCTCAGTGGTTGAGAGCACCCGCTGCTCCTCTAGAGGACTGAGATCTATTTCCTGACCCACAGCAGACATCTGTACATACAATACATACATAAATAAGAAAAAATTGTGAAACATGGTGTCACTATGCAACCCTGGCTAACCTGAAATTCACTATGTAGATCAGGTTGGCCTTGGACTCACGGAGATCTACCTGCCTCTGCCTCCCCCCAGTACAGGGTTAAAGACACGTCTGTCATACCCAGAAAATTACATTTTTAAGTCATCTACTATACTTAAATGGCAAAGTTAGTTTTCACGAGTACAACCCGAGCACGTGGCTTCTCTGTGGAAAAAGTAAAACCACACTAGTACCTTCCCTTTTGTGAGTAAGGATCCCATATGGCTCAGGCTGGCCTCAAACTCTCTACGTCATGAAGGATGACCTTGGGTTTCTGATCCCTCTGCCTTCACCTCCCAAGTGCTGGTACATGCATATGCCACCATGCATGCACCAGCTAGAGTATTAACCCCTCAATAATCATCTTTGCATTTTCTTTACTTCAGATTGCACAGTCCCTAAGGACAGCATCAACAAAAGAATACCCAAATGTTTGTTGAATAAATTCCATACAGATTAGAAAAAAGAATTAAGCTGAACACAGAAAATTCCTCCTATGAGCAATCTTCCTGAGCAGCCTTTCTTTCTGAAGCCAAGACTACCCTTGTTCAGTTCTCCTGGTACCTGGCATTGGGCTAGTGTGTGAATGTCACATGTGTAGTCTTTGATCACCCAAAGAGAAATAAAATATTTTTAGTGGGGGGAGTATGAGCAAGTGCTCACACGGAGGTCAGAGGGCTTGATTCTTTCTTCCATCATGCTGGTTCTGGGGATCACACTCAGGTCTGCAGGCTTAGCAGTAAGTGCCTTTACCAACTAAGCCATTCCTGTAAATGGAGACGGCGCTTTCATTTCCCCAGCCGCCCAGGCCTGAATAATCACACAGAAATTGTATTAAAAACACCCTATCCCCAAAAAAAGCAAACAAACACGCTAGGGATGGGAGTGAAAGGGAAGTTAGTGAGTTGCCGAATGTGAATATGTATGAAAGCGTCATGCAACCCATTGTTTTGTATGTTAAGTAAAATCAGCTGAAAAGAAAAGCTGAGTTCAATTAGAAGTTAATGAAATTAAAGGCACATCATCCAAATTCAGGAACTATAGTTTGTCCCCAGAGTTCTTTGGTGCTTGGGGGGTTCAGGTTAAAAAGAGTGGGTGTGGCACAGAGGGAAAGAAACTCTGTTTTTCTCTACCATTCAGATCCTCACTTCCTGAGGGTGCCCTGCTGGAAGGTAACACTGTTTGTTATTGTACCTGTTCTTGGACCCCTGGTTGCCTTGATCATCTGCTACAACTGGCTGCACCGAAGACTAGCAGGTGCCGTATCTGGGCAGCAAACAGGACCGCTATGGAGCAGGGAACTCAGGCAGACCAGAATGGGGAAAAGTGGAACCAAGGTTCTACATTCCAGGGCTGGGATTGCCTTCCTCCTGTGTCCCCATGCTCACATCAGAATTCTCAGAAAAAAAACTGAGAATCAATGAGATGCATGGGTCCCTTAGTGGAAAGGGAGGGTCATCTAGTGAGGATGTGAGGTGTGTAGGGGGGAATCTCCCACTGATCACCCACCTACTCATTTCTCTTTGTTTGCAGGACAGTTTCTCGAAGAGCTAAGTAAGTTCTCCCCAACACCCCTCCCCATTCTTGAGACCAGTCTCAGTGTGAGCCTCTGAAACTCACTGTGTAGACCAGCCTGATCTGGAACTTATGGCAATCCTCTTGCCTGTCTCCAAGTTCTAGGATCATAGGCATGTGCCACCATTCCCAACCTTTCTCCACTCTCCTAAACTGAACCAAAAAAAGCCAGAGTAGGGAAGATGGTTACTGAGGAATCATAATCCCAGGAAGGACTGGAAGGACTCCTCCTTGAAGGAAGCGGGAAGGGAACCCCTTGGCAAGAATCCCATTTCTGCATTCTCCTCTGGCATTTTCCATAATAGTGATCCTGAACCCACTTCAAGACCAACAGGGAGGTGGGAGAGGCAGGGATAACATGACCCCTGAGGACTGTCTGTCTCCTAGGTTCAATGACATCATGAAAGAAACCACTGGCAGATTTTTTTTTTAACTTACTTGTCTTTCTTCTAGGAAACCCCTTTTGAGTGATGGTGCCACTTCCTGGAATGAAGGGGAGCCTGGCAGTCCAAGAGACAGGTCGTTGGGGACGTCTCTCATTAGCCTCTGGGCTACAGGCACCTTCCAATCTACATCGACAGAAACACCCCGGATTCCAAATAGAATTTGATTTCCCTTCTTCAACTATCTTCCTTTCCTCAGCTCCTTCCTTCCTCTAATTTTTGCCTCCCACATCTTTTTGCCCTGTCTCAGTCTCCCTCCAGGAAGCACCCCACAGCTGAGGGCAGGCAGTCTGTCAGAAGACACCTGTGTGTCAAAGTAATGCAGGAGCGATTCTGTCAAACAGGATACCCAGCACCTCTACATTACAAACACCAGCTGAACAAATGGTGGATGTTTCTCCCAAGATTGCAGCCTTGTCTGGGAAGAGCAGCAACGTAGATAGTAGGGGACAGGGACAGAAGATCTCACAATAAGAGAGACAGAGTATGAATATGGAGCCTGAACCCACACCCACAGATGGGATCTAACAAACTCTGAGAAGAACACCATCCTGCTTGGGCAGCCTGTGGAAAGGAGGACCTTGGGAAACAAGGGTTGAGAATGGGGCGCCCTGTCTTTTCTTTTCTGCTTCCCTTAGCGTCCTTTATACTCCCTGCCTCTATTTTCTCCCATCTTCATTCCTCTCAGAACATGCACTGTTTATTCAGCAATTACTGCTTGATGGTCTACCAGACACAAACAAGCTAGGTGCTAATTAATAATACAAGTTTACTGTGCACACTTCTTTTCCTTTCCTTGTGGAGTCTTTTGTCACCCACTCAACTCTCCTATCCAAACCTCCTGAGCCAGAGGCCAGCCTTCAGAAAATCCGAAATGCAAAGACTAAGATGACTCTCTTTGTTTTAAAAATTGTATTTATTTTGTGAGGTGGGGAGATACGTGGGAAGGGCATGGGTGAGGTCAGGAGGTCAGGGTGAGTGGCAAGTGCCTTTGCCCACTAAGCCGTCTCACCAGCCCCAAACAGGCCTTTTATTTATGTTTCAGGAATTCTCACTGCATGCAAAATTCATCTTGTCTTCCTAGATTTCATTTTTTTCCAAGGACTCCTTTACTTTTAAAATATTTTCTAGCTTCAAGGATGTTAGAGTCCAAGAAAAGCCCCAAGGAAAGACCAGCCACATATACAAAACAAGAGCACTTTATTAATTCTAATGTTGGGGTGCCACCTGGTGACCCCAGATAAGATTAAAAAGCTCCTTTTAAACGGAGTTAGGGGAAATTCAGAGAGGAGGGATTAATCTGGGGACTGGTTGGTAGAGGAAATATTAGTCTGTGGGCTGAATGGTTGGAGGTTCTAGTGGTTAGGGACCTTCAGGCAGCAGGCTAGGGAAAGCTATCTTTAATTATCAGGAGACTTGATTTCACTGGAAACATAAAAGTCAATACCTCTTACAGGATCAAAGATTGAAACATAGATTCTGTTACCTGAATATGTGTGTGGTCCCCCTGGGCTCAGACCCAGGGTCTGGTCCATGCAAAACAAGGGCTGTACCACTGATCATTGCACACACCCCAAGCTCTGTGACTTAGAGTTTTAATATATAGATCCAGTATTTACATTATTCATAATTGATCTATCCCCTGATGACTTAAGCTAAAAATATGATTAGGCCAGAAATGCAAATAGTGCACCTTGCCTACAGAACCTCATAGCTTAGTACATAGCACACTGTAGAGTGTTTCCTTTCCCCTCCCAACCTGCTGGCTGTTTGGAAACTGCAGCCTGCGACCACTATCCAGCATGCAGAGAACCTCAGAGTACCCTTAGGTACCAATACTGTTAGCCTAGTACAAGTTAAATCAAACCCCGCAAAACAAACTGAATGAATGTTAAGACTTTCCCATTATTTTGAACCATCTTAAGTGTTGGCATCATGAGTCAGCCATGGCTTCTACGACCAGATCCCTGTATAGAACAGTGATAATAATCCAACAGCATTTAAGTTCCCTGTTCACTTGGGAAATTTTACACTCATTGAAGAAAAAAAAAAAGTCTCTTCCTATGGACAGCCACTCACCTATTCCTCCTCTCTCTAGATGCTAAAGAAAGCATAAAGGGATAAAAACAAGCGGCCCTTTCTTTGCTGCCCACTTCTTTGGTTAAGTGAAAACACCAGGCAGGAACAAGGCATTAGAGGAATTGCTAACTGGATCCCCAAGATGTTGCCAGGAAAGCTGCATTCCCAGGATCTGAAGTTTGTTTTCTTCCTTCCTTCTTTCTCTCTTGCCTTTCATTCCCCTTCCCTTTCTCTTAAAACCACTTAAGACTGATGCTTGAGAGGTGCTGACCAAGCTTCCCCTCCCATTTTTCAGCCATTAACTTCCAAACAGCTCTATAGTAGTGTTCTCAAGGACCTGTCCTTAAGTTTTTAGCAAGGAAGACCCCTGCTATCATCAAGTCTTCACAATTGCAGGAAGATGTAACCATGGTTACCCAGTCCATTGCCCGAGAACCAGGAAGACTAAGACAGAATCTCCACGAATTGTGGGTATTGCTTTCCTTCCCCCATCTCCTTTTGTACTTTACTGGTCCAGGACCCCTGAGCGTGGAAGGAGACTGAATAAGAAGACTTGGTTGTTAATTGCGAGGAGGTTTCAAGTGGGTTCACTTGTACCCTGGCTTTGTCCACCCTTCCATAGGGTAATTTTCTGGAGGAAATGTGCGGGCATCTCTCAATCCTGATTCCACTCCTCCACCTAAATGATTCATGGTTGCCGCAAATCTGAGGAGTCCAGCTGGGTGCATGGCACATACGTGTAATCCCTGCCTCAGGAGTCCGGCTGGGTGCACGGCACATATGTGTAATCCCTGCCTCAGGAGTCCGGCTGGGTGCATGGCACATACGTGTAATCCCTGCCTCAGGAGTTCAACACATGAAGATCAAGCAGCCTTGCCGCATGACAGGTCCATCTCTCTCTAACCCTGAGGCCCGGTCTCTCTCACACACACAACCTGGGAGAAATGCCTGCACGCTGTAGACTTTCTTGGATGTGGATGACCCCAGCCGTGAAACACCCAGGGATCTGCCCTGTGAGCTTTTCCCTGCTCGCTCAGGGCCCTCGTGCTCTCCCAGCGTCCATCAGCCCTGCCTGGGGCTTGGCAGTCCAACGGTGCCTCGACTGGCTTAGTCTTCCCCAGCGCTCATCCTCAGAGGACCACAGTCCCCTGAATGGCCGGGCTGTATGGGAACACAGCGGCTTGAACTCAGGCAAGCACTTCTGCCTCATGTTAGGAATCCATTATGCAATGGCCACACTCACAGTTGCTCTGATCCCGCTATGCCTGTAACCCACGCACCTCGGGTGGCTGCCCGCCAAGGTCAGAAATTTAGTTCTTAAGAAGCCCAACACCACAACTTCTTTCCCCGCCGACGGTTGATCATCAATGGTATCACCTGCCCTAGGAAATCCAAATTTCCAGAATTAAGTATTTACTTCTGTGTTTGGGGGTGGGGAACAGGGAGGGTTCCTAAAAGCCTAATTCAACTTTGCTAATTCTACTAGGCAGGTGGAAGTGAGTTCCAGGTCAGCATGCACTATACAGGGAAAAAAAACAAATAAAAAAACAACCCTACATATAACATAAGAAACACAACTGCTCTCAACCTCTGATCCACTCTCCAGTGCCAGCTCATTGTGGGTGCTGCCCTCCCTTGGCTGCTGATCCTGACCAAATACTTCTTGATCAGTAAATCACACACATGTAGAAAAGAGACACTTAAATGTCCCATTTTAAAACTAGGAAAAATGAAGCATGCTCACCCCGGACTGCTCAGACAAGGCTGGCATAATGGAGTACAGTATAAGCAAATACCAGTATGTTAAAACAAAACAATAACAACTAAACAAACCAAAACAAACAAACAAAATCGGCCTGAGGATGTAACTCAGTGACAGGGATTTTCTTAGTGATGTAAGATCTCAAGTTTGAGACGTGGCTACATGAGAACATCTTGTCAAAAACAAACAAGAAATGCCAAGTGGTGCACAAGTGTCGATTCGGGCAAAATTATTCCCACACATAAAACACAATGAAAAAGAAATTGTTTAAAATGTTTTGATATCTCTTGCCCTCTGTTCTCCTACCTCTCCCCCTCTCAGAACCTGACATTCCAATGGTCATTTCCATCTGAAAAGTGGCACTCTAGTTAGAAGCTCCTAAGCCTGTCTGCAACTGAACCCACCCCTGAAGCACTGCTGTTTCAGTCTGGACTTCCTGTATCCCTTTCTCTCAGGTTTCCGCCCACCATTCATTCCTTTTGAACTCTCTCCTGGTCTCAACGCCTCGTTTTTCACTTCCGGGGCCTCCCTGTCTTCCCAGGACAAAGCCCTGGGTGTCTCTGGCTCCTCCTCCATCTTATTTGTGGAGTTCTGGGCTGGTTCTCAGGAGGGAAATCCCAGCACAATGGGAGCAGGAACGAGCTGTGTAGTCAACCTGCAGCCTTCTGTCGCGAGTCAGCGTCCTCCAGCACTCAAGGGAGGGACGCATCTGTGTTTGCGAGGATTTGGGAAGCACTCACACCCTGAACCTGACACAGTTTTGAATACTGAGCCAGAGGCTCTGGTTGCTGAAAGCTTTGGACCACGGGGAAGTTTCCGCGGGAAGATAAAGACGTGGAGTTGTCTGTCTTCAATATCATGGCCACACGAGGGCGCTGCTGCTCTATCCTCTTAGATTGTGTAAACCAGGAGAGCAGGGTTGTTAGAGAATCAGCCAGTAAGGGCCTACTGAAGGCTGGGCCAGGGTGTAGGAGGATGAAGATGCCTCTGAGTGACCAGGACTACACAGTGGTTGGAAGAAAGTAGAGCGGTTATAAGGAGTCCTGTTGTGTCTCTCTTAGTATTCTCCTCTCCAACCCCTTGATGTCTACTTTCCACTTTCTGTACTATCCCTGAAGGTTGATAACTGTTTTTTATTGGGCAGGGAGTTGGGTAAGGTTAGGGGGCATGCTCGTACACATAGGAGCAGAACTGGAAATTCAACCCATTCAACAGAAGGCACAGAGAAAAGAAAACAATGTATCACTGAACACTCCAGCCCCTGAAGACTATTTTGTAAACATGATCTTTAAATTTTTAGAATGTATGGGGCTGGACAGATGATTAAGAGCACTTACAGATCTTGCAAAAGATCTGAATTTGATTCTCAGCACCCACAATAAGCCTGTACCTCCAGCTCCTCTCTCTCTCTCTCACACACACACACACACAAATCTTAAACTGAATTTAAACTAGAAATGCTTTTATATTTCTAAAAATAAAACTGCAAAATTGAGGCACAGAGCCTCCAGCTTCTCTGCTTAAAACATCCTGCAAGTCTGGAGATACAGATCGATGGTTAAGAGCACTGTCTGCTCTCACAGAGGACCCAGGTTCGGTACTATGCTCACATAGTGGCTCAGGCATCTTCTGGCCTCCAGGGCACTGCCTGTGTGTGCTCCCCATGAACTCAGGCAAGCACACACGCACATGAAAATAAATCTCGCATCACCATACATTTATAATTCATGAAGCAATATTGACACATTCATCTATACCTATTTCATTTACACTCCAGTTATCACCAATGTCCTTTGTCTTTTCTAAGATGTGACATAAGGCACCACACATTCGGTCTCAATTGATCCTTAAGGTGTCTCAATTTCTCTGACTTTCCTTGGTTTTGATAGCCTTGACACTTGAGGACTGGGGCAGCGTATTAAGAATGTTCTTTGACTTGAGTTTAACTGGGACCACGCTTTGAAGAAGTCCAGCGACAGGAAATGCTGCCTGAACCTTGTCAACAAACCACAGCCTTGACCTGTCCTTCACTTATGTTTCAGGGATTCTCACCGCAGGCATGAGTCATCTTGTCTTCTTGGATTTCACCTTTTCTTCTTTTCTTCCCTTGAGGACTCCTTTACTTTTGAAATATTTCCTGGCTTCAAAGGGATCAAGAAAGGCAAGCAAATGACCCAGGATTTCCCAGCACTTAATGGATCTACCTGGTTCTTTACAGCACATGTGATCCAGCAGGCTTTCCTTTTCCCTAAAGAGGACGTCGCAGACAGGGCAACAGTAGATATCCTGCTTCCTGTGGGTGTTCTTTTGGGAACCTACCACCACGGATGAGTGGGAGGACTCTCTGTGATGGAGGTATTGGTCGGGCTCATTTGTGAAGTGGACTTTGAGGTGGGTTAAGAAGCAAGTCCTCTTGGTAAAACCTATCAAACAATAGGGGCAATGGATGTTTTTTCTTGAGCATTTTACTGGAACAGAGCTGGATCTGACATTCAGAGATGAGTCTCTGTTGCAGCTTGCCTTAGCCCTGGCCACTGGTCTGCCCACTGGTCCTTGGATCACTTTCCGATGCCTGACGTTGGGACCCTGGGATCCAGCTGTTTCAAGTGGAACCTTCTTCACCTCATGCTCCTGGTTGCCAGTCCCTGGCTTCCTGTTTTCGTGTACCTTCATGTGGCGTTTGACCTCAGACTGATCCCGGAAGCGTTTTCCACACACAGAGCATGAACTGGGCCTATAACCTAAATGAGTGCGTCGGTGCCGGCTCAGTCCAGAAGGATCGCGGTAGATCTTGTTACAGAGCTGGCAAGAGAAAGTCCTCTCTTTACGATGCTGAGGCTTGGAGCCCACGGCTTTGTGGCTAGTAGTCTTCTGGGCCTTAAACTGGTGATTAAAGAGGTTGATGTACTTTTTGTAACATCTGCCACAGGTCAGGCAGAAATAGAGTGGTCCACCTTTGAACATCCCTGTACAAGCAAGAGAGCCCTTCTCTTTAACATTGTTCTCTTCATCTTCCAGATTTGAGCTAGGATCTTGAGAACTCCTCTTCTTGCTTCCTGTGGTGGAGGAGGGAAAATACACAGTTTGCCACTGACAATGTCACCAACACAAGGTTTTCACTCAGTAGGAGTCACTTTCCATTTCCCCAACCTTTAAACTCAACCATTCATCCTTGGATCTTATGGGATAGAAATAGGGAAAACCAATAAAAAGAATAATGAAAGCTAGTAAAAATTTCATAGGTATCTTCTATGATCTCAAATATCTAAATACTAGCTTATATCTTGTAAATCTATCCTCTCAAGCTCAATATTGCTCATATTCTCACAGGTGAAAGACCACATAGTAAGCAGTGATCTTTCCTCATCCCCGACTTCACATGTGTCTGTCACAGTCCCAAAATATTAAGGGTTGAATTCCCTTCTGTAAGACCACATTCACATAACTTTCTAACATAGATTAATATTATCCAATTTTGATAGTATTCTAGTTTAATGTATTACTGTGTCTAGTATAAAAAAAAATCAGAACTCAGGGGCTAGGGATGTAACTCAGCAGCAGTAGGGCACTTGCCTAGTTTACACAAAGCCCTGGGTTCAATCCCCAGCTCCGTAAAAACAAAAAACACCTAAATTGGGCCCAGAGCTAATTGTGGCTGTAGCTTTGAAAACCACTGAAACAAAATCCCTTCAGAACAGAGAGCTCACCCCAGTGTTGGGAAGGCAAACCATGCAAGCAAGTGTTCTCTCTCCCAGTGAGCTAGGCCAAGGGAAGACTGCTGTATCATGTAAATTGGTGGTGAAAAGTTATGCTATTGATTATTAACAATTACCTGGGTTAAAGAGGCAGCACAGCAAGACTGTCTCAGACTGGGAGGTGTGACCAACCTAAATTAGCATTCCTCTCAAAGACTAAGCCTTCCTTGTTCTTACCGTAGGAACAAGCTTATTCTTCTCCTCCTCAACATTGTTTCTCCACTTTCTCTTGGGAAGAACTTGTTAACCAAAGGGTAACTAACACAGCGACCCACATGTGATCTCGAGTCCTAGAAACTAGATTCCTTGTTTTGGAAGTCTTGGTTTTCCATTATAAAGTCAGTGGACTTAAACTTTGATCTCAAGGTTTCTTCAAGTCCCAAGGTACAGATATTGAGATGATCTACTGAGCTCAGATGTTCTAGGACAGCTCCGAATTCTGCGGTCGTTCTCGGTCCTTTTTACCTTCCTTTCTCTTTTGGCATTTACTTTTCAATTTTAAAATTACACTTTTATTATATTGTATGTGTGCATATAAACGCTACAACATGCTTATGGCAGTAAGGAGACAGCTTGTTGGACTGATTCTTTCCTTCCAAATACATATTAAATTCCAATTGCAAGCATTGGTGGCAGGCATTTTTAACCACTGAGCTGTTTTGCTGACCCTTGGTTTTGTGAGATGAGAGGGCCTCAAATACACTATGAGGCGGAGGTGTTGGGGTTGCAGATGTGAGTTACCGTATCCAGCTTCCTTTGCCATTCTTACCTGTTGCCTTTGGGGGACAGAGAGCTGATCTCTTCTGTCTTCTTTCTTTTTGCATGGTGTACTGATCTGGTATAGGCAGAAAATATTTAGGCAGTGAGTGGAGGTATATTTTTGGGTGGGTGAGAGACACACACATAATATACACGCAAAATGTTCATACACATAAAACAAACCAAAAAAAACACGTTTTGTTTTATTTTAAATACAACAATTTACAACACTCGGTTGCAGGAAAGGCATTTAAGAAGGCAGCTTCTAGCCTGGAGGTGGTGGTGCACACCTTTAATCCCAGCACTAGGGAGGCAGAGGCAGGTGATTTTCAGAGAGTTCAAGCCAGCCTGATCTACAGAGTGAGTTCCAGGACAGTCAGTCAGAAGTGTCCCATAGAGAAACTCTGTCTCAAAACAAAACAAACGAAATAAAAAAAAAATCAGCTTCTAGTATAATGCCTTGTATACAAGATTAAGTAAATATTGTTGGGTGTATAGACAGGTAGTTTTCAAGATAGTCTGTCTATGTAGCCTAAGCTGGCCTCCATCTCTATAACCAAGGTTGAGGCTTAAATGTGTGATCCTCCTGCATCAGCCCCAGAAGTGTTGGGATTTTAGGCTTTTGTCAACACACCAGGCCTGAACAGGCAAATTTAAATCGTGGGTTCAACGCAATGCCCATCAAAATCCCAGCAAAATTCTTCAAAGACATCGAAAGAACAGTACTCAACTTCACATGGAAAAGCAAAAAACCCAGGATAGCCAAAACAATCCTCTACAATAAAAGAACTTCTGGAGGCATCACAATCCCTGACTTCAAGCTCTACTACAGTACTGAAAACAGCCTGGTATTGGCATAAGAACAGACAGGACAACCAGTGGAACCTAACAGAAGACCTGATATCAATCCACATCTTCGAACACCTGATCTTTGATAAAGAAACAAAAAATATCAAATGAAAAAAAGAAAGCATATTTAACAAGTGGTGCTGGCATAACTGGATATCAACATGTAGAAAAATGAAAATAGATCCGTATCTATCACCATGCATAAAACTCAAGTCCAAATCGATCAAAGACCTCAACATAAAGCCAGCCTCACTGAACTTCATAGAAGAGATAGTGGGAAGTATATTCGAACATATTGGCACAGGAGACTACTTCCTAAATATAACCCCAGCAGCAGACACTGAGAGAAACAATTAATAAATGGGACCTCCTGAAACTGAGAACCTTCTATAAAGCAAAGGACACGGTCAACAAGACAAAATGACAGCCTACAGAATGGGAAAAGATCTTCACCAACCCCACATCAGACAGAGGTCTGATCTCCAAAATATATGAAGAACTCAAGAAATTGGTCATCAAAAGAACAAATAATCCAATAAAAAATGGGAGTACAGACCTAAACAGAGAACTCTCAACAGAGGAATCTAAAATGGCTGAAAGACACTTAAGGAAATGTTCAACATCCTTAGTCATTAGAGAAATGCAAATCAAAACAACTCTGAGATTCCATTTTACACCTGTAAGAATGGCCAAGATCAAAAACACTGATGACAACTTATGCTGGAGAGGTTGTGGGGAAAAGGGAACACTTCTGCATTGCTGGTGGGAGTGTAAGCTGATACAGCCCCTTTGGATGTCACTGTGGTTATTTTTCAGAAAATTAGGAAACAATCTTCCTCAAGACTCAGTAATACCACTTTGGGGTATATATCCAAAGGATGCTCAATTGTGCCACAAGGACATGTGCTCAACTATGTTCATAGCAGCTTTGATTATCATAACCAGAACCTGGAAACAACCAAAATGTCTCTTGACTGAAGAATGGATAAGGAAAATGTGGTATATTTACACAATAGAGTACTATACAGAAAAAAATAACGACGGCTTGAATTTTGCAGGAAAATAAATGGAGCTAGAAAAAACTATTTTGAGTGAGGTAACCCAGACACAGAAAGACAATTATCACATGTACTCACTCATAGGTGGTTTTTAAACATAAAGCAAAGAAAGCCAGCCTACAAACCACAATCCCAGAGAACTTAGACAACAATGTGGACGCTAAGAGAGACTTACATGGATATAATCTACATGAGAAGTAGAAAGTAAAAAAAGACAAGATCTCCTGAGTAAATTGGGAGCAGGGGACCTTTGGGGAAGATTGAATGGGGAAGGGGAGAGGCAGGGAGGGGAGTAGAGAAAAATGTAGAGCTCAATAAATATCAATAAAAAATGTAAAAAAAATCATCTTGGGGTTGGGGAAGTAGCTCAGTACATCAAATGTTTGCCTTGCAATCTTCAGTGCTTGAGTTTAACCCCAAGAACACCCAAAAATAAAAACCAGGCATAGTGGAACTTGGCTATAAAGCCTATATCAGGAAACAGAGACAGACAGATTCTTAGGGCTCACTGCAGCAGTGAATTCCAGATTAGTAAGTCCCTGCTAAAAACAAAGAGAACAGGGTGGATGATGTCCTGAGGAATAAAGTTCCAACGTGAACATGTAATATACCTGCACATACATGAACACACACAAAACATTATCTTTGACTTTCTACAGGGTGCTTTTTGTTTGTTTTAAGGTTTATTTTATTTTAATTTGCTTTGTGTGTGTGTGTGTTAGGTGTTTTGCCTGTATGTATGCACACCACTTACATGCCTGGTACCCACAGAAGTCAGAAGAAGGGGTGGGACCCCTGGGACTAGAGCTACAATGTTTGTACACCACCATGTGAGGGCTGGAAACTGAACTCAGGTTCTCTGCAGGGCCTGCATAGGCTTTTTGTCCCATGTAGTTGAGAACCACCCTTGATGTCCTGGGCTTTCTACCTCCACTTCCAATGCGAGCTCATATATAAGTCTCCACTTTGAGACTCAGACCTTCCAGGTATAGAACTAGGGATCAACTTTAATTTAATCTCCTTGAGCAAAACAAATCCAACATATATTCTAAGGGTATAGGACAGAGAGAGTGCTGAGGAAGTCATGGTTTCTTACCTACAAATGCCAGGTTCTTAAAGGTTTCTGACTGCACTTTCCGGTAAAGGATCTTCTGTTTCTCAGTCAGACATGCCCATTCTTCGTTGGTGAAAGACACTGCTACGTCCTCACAAGTGATTGGTCTCTGGAGGGGCTGGGCAGGCTTAAGAATATAAACAAACACAGAAAACTGAAGTGATTGAGGTAACACCATTTTGCTCTGACTTTGTGTCTGCTTAGGGACCCTCTAAACAGCCATATCAGCCTTGGGAACACGTTCAGGATTTTCTATGATCCCGACCACAGCCCAAAGCATAACCAAACTATCTGCTGAAATTTGCAGCTAAAGCAAGTATTACCAGGTTCCCCTAACTTATACCCAACAATGTGTTTTCTGCCTTTAAAACTGTTGTATGCCTAAGCTTCCGAGGCAAGAGTTCTTCCAAGCCTGCTTCTCGTCACCATCTTATGAAAGACTTATTTGGCCCTATATGCATGGTGATGTCCACTATAAAATCCTGAGATATACTCGAGGTTTAGAGAATTCAGACCATGAAGAAAGAACAAGTATGAAGAAGGCACAAAATCAGGGTCTGTGATTTGCCAAAAGGAAGGGTGATACAGAGGAAGGAAGAAATCACTGAATATGATGAAGAGAAGGGAAGGAATATTAATTGCTACTCTTACAGAACCTGTGCAGGATGCTAGGGTGGTATCAGAGAAAATCATGAAATTCTTTTCTCCCCTATTGTTTGGCCTGGGAAAATCTGAAATTCCAAGAGGCAGGGGAATGGTAAAAGACCCCAGAGAGTCTAAGGCCTCCATTTCTCCACCCAATCTTCTCTCTTCCACTGTTAGATTTCACTTGAGATCTCTGTGTTATATACATGTGTGTCTTCCTCTACCTTAGCTTTTTGAAAATTATCCGGTTGCACCTTATTTATGTGTGTGTGTGACTGTTTTTTTTTTATGTAGGGACTGAAAATCTCAGCTGTGTTCTCAAGTTTGTACATCAAGTACTTTATACACTGAGCCATCTCCCCTAATCCTCCACCATAATCTTTCTTCCATGCTTCTGTAGAGAGGCTAACATACTACCTATTCCAAGGTGGCATGTCTTTCTTTAGCTGTGTCTATTTCTGGTTTAGTCTCTTCTGGCCTGATCCCTAAGACTAATTGGACTCCTTGTGACTCTCTACCTCCCAGGAACTGGGCAAATAGGGAGGTCCTACAAGGCCCCAGCATTTGATACTGCTTCTTCTAACAAAGTATCTACTCTAAAAGACTGTTTTCCTTGAATGGTCAGATTTACAATTCTCCTATTTCACACCTGGTAACTTTAGTTCTCTCAAAGCCAGGCAGTAGAGTTCAGGGCTCTGGTTACCTGTTTCTTGCTTCCCATTGTTTGATGATGCCAGGCTGGTACTAAGTCTTTGATGTCTACTCCAGACTGCTTCTAGCCACTATTTGTTGGTTCCCACTTCTAGAAACCTGAAGTTAGGAGGAAAATATACAATATCAGCAAAAGGATAAGAAGCAAGTGCTTCCTTAGCACACAGCCACTAACTTCCTCTACTGGGATGGAGCCTTCTCAACAGGACAATTTAATGTAGCTGATAATGGTTCCATCTTCCCAAACCTCAAGTGGAGGGGCATTAAGTCATTCACTCAAGGATATTTGACCGATGGGAGAATGAGTTCTTTAGTTCTAGGGCAGTGCTACTGAAAAGCACATACAAGAAATTATCACAAACTACTGAGTCTATCTCTTCATCCTCCCTGACTTGATTTCACTGGAAACATAAAAGTCAATACCTCTTACAGGATCAAAGATTGAAACATAGATTCTGTTACCTGAATATGTGTGTGGTCCCCCGGGGCTCAGACCCAGGGTCTGGTCCATGCAAAACAAGTGCTGTACCACTGATCATTGCACACACCCCAAGCTCTGTGACTTAGAGTTTTAATATATAGATCCATTATTTACATTGTTCATAACTGATCTATCCCCTGATGACTTAAGCTAAAAATATGATTAGGTCGGGGCTGGAGAGATGGCTCAGAGGTTAAGAGCATTGCCTGCTCTTCCAAAGGTCCTGAGTTCAATTCCCAGCAACCACATGGTGGCTCACAACCATCTGTAATGGGGTCTGGTGCCCTCTTCTGGCCTGCAGGCATACACACAGACAGAATGTTGTATACATAATAAACAAATAAATATTTAAAAAAATATATATTATTAGGTCAGAAATGCAAATAGTGCACCTTGCCTACAGAACCTCATAGCTTAGTACATAGCACACTGTAGAGTGTTTCCTTTCCCCTCCTAATCTGCTGGCTGTTTGGAAACTGCAGCCTGTGACCACTATCCAGCATGCAGAGAACCTCAGAGTACCCTTATGTACCAATACTGTTAGCCTAGTACAAGTTAAATCAAACCCCGCAAAACAAACTGAATGAATGTTAAGACTTTCCCATTATTTCGAACCATCTTAAGTGTTGGCATCATGAGTCAGCCATGGCTTCTACGACCAGATCCCTGTATAGAACAGTGATAATAATCCAACAGCATTTAAGTTCCCTGTTCACTTGGGAAATTTTACACTCATTGAAGAAAAAAAAAAAGGCCTCTTCCTATGGACAGCCACTCACCTATTCCTCCTCTCTCTAGATGCTAAAGAAAGCATAAAGGGATAAAAACAAGCGGCCCTTTCCTTGCTGCCCACTTCTTTGGTTAAGTGAAAACACCAGGCAGGAACAAGGCATTAGAGGAATTGCTAACTGGATCCCCAAGAAGTTGCCAGGAAAGCTGGATCTGAAGTTGATTTTCTTCCTTCTCTCTCACCTTTCATCTTCCTTCTTTCTCTTAAGACCACTCAAGGTTATCCAAAAAAGATAAAAATAAATAAAAATAAAAACAAAGCAAGCCGGGCGGTGGTGGCGCACGCCTTTAATCCCAGCACTCGGGAGGCAGAGGCAGGCGGATCTCTGTGAGTTCGAGACCAGCCTGGTCTACAAGAGCTAGTTCCAGGACAGGCACCCAAAACTACAGAGAAACCCTGTCTTGAAAATCCAAAAAAGATAAAAATAAATAAATAAATAAATAAATAAAAAAGACCACTCAAGGCTGATGCTTGAGAGGTACTGACCAAGCTTCCTCTCCCACTTTTCAGCCATTAAATTCCAAACAGCTCTATACTAGTATTAATGGACCTGTCCTTAGTTTATAGCAAGGAAGACCTCTGTTTTCATCAAATTTCCACAATTGCAGGAAAATGTTGGAGCTTGGTGACCCAGCCTATTTTTTTTTTTAAAGATTTACTTGTTATGTATATAGTGTTTTGCTTGCATGCCGGAGGAGGGCACTAGATCTCACTGTAGATACAGAGTTACCATGTGGTTTCTGGGAATTGAACTCAGGACCTCTGGAAGACCAGCCAGTAATCTTAACCTCTGAGCCATCTCTCCAGTCTGTGACCTAGACTCATTACCCAAGCTCCTGGTAAACTAAAACAGGGACAGCCAGGGCTATAAAATAAGTCTCAAAAAGCAACACACACACACACACACACACACGATAGTAGAAAGCAGTCTTCTGAGACAGTTTGGGCTACATAAGTCTCAAAAAAAAAGGAACACAGGATAACGGGGAGCCGTCCTTGATACGGATTTAGGCTACTTGAGAAGACTCACAGGTATTGCTTACCTCCACCCATCTCCTTCCTCGTTTACCTCCTTTTGTACTTTTCTGGTCCAGGAACCTTGAGTATGAAAGAAGACTGAATAAGACTTGGCTGTTAGTAGGAAGTGGGTTCACTTGTGTCCTGTCCTGGCCCCGCCCTTCCATAGGGTAAATTTCTGGAGAGAATGCGCGGGCACCTCTCAATCCCGAATCCACTCCTCCAACTAAAATTTATTCACAGTTTCCACAAATCTGAGGGGTCAGGCTGGTCCACATAGCACACACTCGTAATCCTTGCGCTCGGGCGGCCGATTAGGCAGCCTTGAAGCAAAACATCCCGTCTCTCAGTCTCTTTCTCTAAATCAGAGCCCCTTACCCAGCCCCCCCCCCCCCGCCTCTCTCTCTCTCTCTCTCTCTCTCTCTCTCTCTCTCTCTCTCACACACACACACACACACACACACACACACACAACCTGAGAAACGCCCGCGCAATGTAGGCTTTGCTGGATGTGCCCAACCCCAGTCGAGAAAACCTTGGGGTTCAGCCGAGTGAACTTTTCCACGGTCTTGCCAGGCAGGGAGGCTTCTACCAGCTAGCGGTCGGTCCCCTCGTGGCTCAGCCCAGGGCTCTCACGTTCTCATCGGGCCCATCAGTCCTGCAGTCGCTTGATTGGCGTGCAGTCTTCCCCAGTGCTCGACCTCCAAGTGGTGGCCCCTAACCGAGCACAACCACGCCTAGAACTCCACCCCCCACCCCCGCCTCCCCCTCCCCTTCCCTAGACCGCAGCTCCCTGAAGGGCCGTTTGCTTTGGAGCCCTGACCGGAACACAGTGGCACGAACTAAGGACGGCTCTTCTGCCCCAAGTCAGGGATCCGTTACGCAGTGGCCACGCTTTGACTTGTAGTCACTCTGCTTCTGCTCTGCAGGTAACCCACCCCGGTGGCTGCCCGCCGAGGTCAGAAATTTATCACAATACCAAGCCTTCTTGCCCCGCCTCCGGCCGGTCTACACTGTCTCACCTACCTCATAGGCTAGGAAATCCCAGTTCCCAAAATTCCTGAAAGCGTGTCTCAATTTTGGTAATTCCAGTACTAGGCAGGTGGAAGTGAGTTCCAGCCCGGCCAGGACTACACAGTAAAAACAAAACAAAAAACGAGAACACAGAAGACACACAACTGCTCTCAACCTCTGATCCACTCTCCAGTGCCAGCTCATTGTGGGTGCTGCCCTCCCTCGGCTGCTGATCCTGGGTTCTATAAGGGGGCTGAGCAAGTCATGAGGAGCAAGCCAGTAAGCATCATCTCATGGCCTCTGCATCAGATCCTGCCTCCAGGTTACTGCCCTGTTTGAGTTCCTGTCCTAACTTTCTTCAGTGATGAACATTGATCTGAAAGTGTAAGCCAAATAAATCCTTTCCACTCTAACTAAATTTTGTTTGTTTTCAAGACAGGGTTCCTCTGTAGCTTTGGATCCTATCCTGGAACTAGCTCTTGTAGATCAGGCTGGCCTTGAACTCACAGAGACCCGCCTGCCTGCCTTCCTCTGCGGGGATTAAAGGTGTGCACCACCGCCGCCAGGCCTAGCAAAAGAAACTTTAAGAAAGTACCTTTGTGTGTTTACAAATTTCTAAGCAAATTACTGCAGCCCCAGTGGCTCTAATGTTGACAGTATTTAGATCACAGGCAAGCACAGAAGGACCGAGATCCAAAATCTGAACATAGCAGCTGATGCTCTCAGTGCAGAGTGTTTGCCTAACATAGACAAAGCCCTGGGTTCCTTACCCAGTACCACAAACAAAAATTGGAACATAAACTCTATCCAAACTCCAGGCTGGCTACCTAAGTAAGTATACAAGGGTGTAGAAAAACCAGATCATGCAGGCGGTCTACCTTTAAAAGGCAGAAACTGTCCTGGTGGGATTTGCAGATCTATACCTTTATCTGCCCTGCCCCCTTGACGAACCAACATTGAAGCAGAAAAGTGTCCTTCTCAGATCGCCACCAAAGAATCTGATTCATATTAAAAAGCAAAGAGCTTTATTCATTCAAGCTCAGGATTGAACCCTTCCTGTGTCCAACCCAGCGGTAGAAACAGAGAGTGCCCAGCCTGGGCAGGATAGGAATTTTCTTTATCATAGTAGAGATTGGGGGTGAGGGAATTTTCAGGGTTCAAGACCCTGATTGACTGACATTTGTCGTGGGTTGTCTTGGAAGAAGGGAATTGGTGCAGGCTGGTTTCAAGGACATCTGCTGCTCTTGCTTAATCTTATCTAATGGCTGTGCTGTTTGGAATGTCAGATACTTCCGCTTAGATGAGATCCCATCCCTGGGTGGTTCCAGTTAGTTCCAGGGGATCAGACTCCTTCTTCTGGCCTCTGAGAGTCCCAACCGTGCAAGTAGTCATTTAGGCGAAATATATACCCACACACATAAAACACAATGAAAAAGAAATTGTTTAAAATGTTTTGATATCTCTTGCCCTCTGTTCTCCTACCTCTCCCCCTCTCAGAACCTGACATTCCAATGGTCATTTCCATCTGAAAAGTGGCACTCCAGTTAGAAGCTCCTAAGCCTGTCTGCAACTGAACCCACCCCTGAAGCACTGCTGTTTCAGTCTGGACTTCCTGTATCCCTTTCTCTCAGGTTTCCGCCCACCATTCATTCCTTTTGAACTCTCTCCTGGTCTCAACGCCTCGTTTTTCACTTCCGGGGCCTCCCTG